ATTGTAACCGTAAGGTGGTGCCCGGAGGTTACTCGCGAAAATCTGGGGTAAAATTCGCATTCCACTGAAATGGAAGGAAAGTACTCAAGACAGCGGCTCTGGTTTGTACTTGTTTATTTCTGCTCGATTTCAAAAAGGATTCTGATCTATGTTAAAAATGGATGCAACGCAAGACCTCGTAAAAATTTTGAAGACTGGGTAAAGGCCACAGGTTATTGGCTGGCCCGGTATGACGCACGTCGATCCACCCAGAGGGAAGAGCGGTGGAGTGGGGTTAAACCTCAAGGGGCCGGCCTCCACCGGGAAGGCCCAAATTTAAGGGATTACGATAATGGGGACCCGGCAAGGAAATCCTTCGATTTCGGTATTTGCAGACAAACATCCGCTACGGATTACAACTACGGGTCCCTTTCATTAGCGCTAAGTAAAGGCGCAAACAAAGATAATATGAAGAGATATTGGTAGTATAGTAGTTGCGGCCGTCGAGTGTTAGGTCCCTACTTAACATTTTATTTTAAGTAATATTAAGAAAGAGACTAAGCAACGCGTCTCGCGCTCCAAAACGCTCCTGGAGACATGCTCTCCCTCGTTTCTTATCTCGCCTTTGTTTATCCGAGTACTTCCGCACCCCAAACTAGATGACAGCCCTGGGAAACGTCAAACATTCAGATTCTTTGGAAAAAGACGCTTTCCACCTGTTTCCCCTTCGACCTGTCCCCAACCCAATCACATGAGACATTTTCCTCCTCAATCTTAAAAACCCACCAATAAGCATCCTCCTCCGCGTCTAGGAACATCCTAGGTCAGTATAAAAGGGCCCGCTCCGAAGGGCTCGCTCTCTGATCTATCGAAGTTTGAACTGTCTCCATTCTGTAACCTGCGTGCGAGGCACCTGTAACTCTGGGCAAACGCTAGTCCCCTTGAGTTGACCGAGTCTACGAGTCGTTCCTGTAAACCAAGAGGCATCGAAAATAAAGTATCTTTGTTACTTTGCTCGACGAGGTCTTTAGCTGGTTTCAACCATCTGGAAGCGGGTCCCCAAAAACAAACCCACGAGGCCCGGTCCGATCGACATCCTCGGGTAATCGCTATCACCGCTCCCGAGTGAACGATCCCCGACCTAACACGAGCCGCCGTATTCGGCCACCCATTGCATACCTATAACAGCGAAGGTGGCCAATGTAAAGAGACTACGATCGGCCGCGCGCTTTTACTGTCGTACATGGTTTCACTTGGTGAGGTACCTGGTACTTGGCGCCAAACTTAACCGAGTCTCTTGATTGTGAGGAAGATAATGAAAATTTTCGAACATATACATAGAAATGTAGGGTATACATTAAAGTACAATAATTGCAGTCCAAGGTTCTTTAATCTTTTGTAAAATAATTACAGAAAAAGTGATTTATGACCACTGGCGCGGTTAGTCATCTTCCTCCGGGTACCGGGTACAGGGCAACTTGACTTATTAGTTGGGGTACATTGACACGGCATATAAATCCGCACGAGATTGGTACACAATTGAAAATAATAAGTTGCAAATTTAAAAATATGGGTTTTCATTATTAATAGTAACAAAATATACATTTATAAATACGCAACAATTAATCTTTATATACTTTATAATAAATATTTGTGATGCTTTAACAATCTCTTACGACTTAATGACTTGCTTAAGCAAAATACTTTCTTACTTTAATTAGTACTTGCTAAAATCACAAATGTGTTGGAAGTGTTAAACAGATACTAATCAGAAATTTTTAGGAGACCTCCTGACTCACGAAAAGTGCCCAAGAAAGACGGCAATTGATCTGTATCGAACCTTTTTTCGTATCCCCACTTACTGCATTGAATGAATTTTATACAAATTTCTCGATGAAACTTCAAAAAATAAAATTCACCGCACATTAAACAATGTCTCAGTCCCGTCTTGACTTGCCGTTTAAATTTCTTCGGCGTTTTTTACACACTTACCTTTAGGTTTTTCTTTTGACGTTTGGTTCGGCTTCGCTTTGGACTTTACATTAGACGTTTTAATGTCCTTCAATAAATTTAGAGCCCACCAAGCTTAGCTCATTATGTTCAGTGAATCAATAAATATTTGGAATATACTTAAAGCACAGAAGATGACAGAAAAACTAACAGCTAGCGCGACGTCAAGATTTTGTCAATCAACATGCCCCGCTTGTCGATAGTCAGTTTGCCTTGAACATCATTTTAACAATCGAAAGCACTTTGACAAATGATAAACTATTTTATTTAAAAATATATACACAGCGATGCAAAGCTAAATATATGTTCTTTTTATGTGCCATGCTTTCAACATAACAAAAAGCAATACACTGCATTAAAAAGGAAAAAATGAGGACTGAAGAAATTCACTTCCCACAATGCAATTCGGAATATTATAGTAGTCGAATATTTCAAAATCAGATGGGAAAATGTGGAAAGACAGTTCCATAAACGATTGCAAGAGAAATGCTGACTTCTTCCGCAGCTCACGTGACCTAGAGTCGAAATTTAATTCACACTAAAAGTGATAGATGGCCCTGATGTAAATTAGTATATTGAACCAGGATTGTGCGTAATCGGTAATGAGTATGAAATATCATGAATTTGGGGAATTTCTTAATTTTTACTTTGATCTTTTTATAATCACTCAGCATAAATATAAATGTAGGTAACGTGCCGGGCCAGTTTGATACCACTGGAGTATTCAAAATGAGATTACTAGTGAAAAGGGTGGACACTGACGATACAAGAATTTAATTTCGTCGACATCGATCGAATTTCCCCACGCCTTTTACACTATTTTAATTGATTACGCCCCTGTTGACTTGTACTTCTTATTCAGGCTAAATTTTTGCCTGTATTCACGAAGATACTTTTACTGTTTAGATACTTATACTATTTAATACTTTTACTGTTTAGATACTTATACTGTTTAATACTTCAAATTAATACATATTACCTACTTAATTTACTTACAAGGAAAGGTACTTCGGTGTCCCCCTCCGATTCGGTTTTACCTTTGATATTTCATATCTCATAGAATTCAATTTTTTTATACCTGCTGTAAAAGAGTTTTAAGAGGTGAAACCAATCCAACTCTGCAAGGAGGTGATATGGCAGTTTTGCAGTGTTTGAACACTCAAGTTTGATGCTCGGTTATGCAGTGTTTGAACACTCAAGTTTGATGCTCGGGTGTTTAATAAATACAGGTAAACTTTATTAACAATAATTGAGAAAGCTGCACACCGGGTTCCAGATGCGTTCCGGATGGATGTTCGACGGACTAAATTTTTGTGTTCGGTTCGTTCTAAAAGTTACAAACGAAAATTAGATGATACGTGTATCGGCTTTTTTGCAAATAAAAATTTCTTCAGGGTGGTAACTATTCCTTGGAACGATTATACGGATGCTTGTTTTAAAATCGAATTTTTTCCGATGCGCATTAAAAAAAATTACCACGTACACGAGCAGAGATCAGAACATACCCGAAACCTATCGTAGTGTTACTTCAGGGGTAAATCACCTTTAGTGAGAGTTTATAATACATACGATGTAGCGATAAATTCATGTTCAGATGAGTCTCATGAACGTAAATGGTGAAGTATATATTGCTATTAATGGCAAACACAATTTTCAAGGGTAAAACTACCCTTTGAAAACTATTCTTTTGATTCGTTCTAAAATCGAATTTCTTGCGAGTTTGTAACAAAATTTCATATGCTTTTTAAAAATTGTAGTTGTTTTTTTTTCATTTTTATAACCGGTTGTGTCAGCTTGATAATAAATTGGCATAACCTAAGTTATTTTATTAACTATTACAGTTGAAGAATTCTGATTCATGAATTCTTGGAGATACAAAATAGCAACAAATTCTGAAGTGTTTACTTTTTCAATTGTAGTATTTGTTTTCATTTCAATAGAACTGGTCGTACAAGTTAAATATTAAGCTGGCATTACTCACGTTCTTTTTGTAACGACTGGAGCTACAACATTTTTAAGGTGAAGTGAAACACGTCGAGGAACTTGATCGAGGTCGATGAAGAAGATTTTTCTAAATACCTATGTTGCCGACATTCGTTTTTATATTGACAGCTGTGTCGAATTATATTGGATATTGTACCAAATGGCATCCTCCACCTGTCGTTTTCGTACAATAAATATCAAGAAATCGAAGTAAAACTCCAGAAATCCTCTGGATTCATGTTTTCTGGGGCCCTAATTGACTGCAGAGGGACCCGCTGCGCCATCTGTGATTTCCAGGTCAATTCAATTTTCACTTCGAGACCTCGTATTTCCATCGTTTTAGCATCGAAGCGCGTACAACACTTTTTTTTTGCCTTTATCCCGTTCAAAGACGACTTTATCGACTACCAGAGTGTTCTAAATTGTCGTAAAATTGTCCTGACCCTTTCGATTTTCATATCCGAGTCTTCGATAATTGTATATTGATCGAAATATTAGAGCTCGACGCCATTTTGGTTCTGGTCTGGGCTGAGTTAAACAATTTTTTTTTTAAATCCAAATTTTGAATGTGTCAGGACAATTCTTATATGTTGAGGAGTGATGTGTCAAGGTTTCGGACAGTTTGGTCCAATACCCTTAAAGAAAAGTGTTGTATTAGAATCGACTGATTTGAAGGGGGCTTCACTTCACCTTAATAGGAGAACAAATTAGTAACAAGAGCACCAAATTTTTCCGTATATTTTATTTGATTGTACTGTAGTGGTCGTGCCAGCTTAACAGACGTAAGTAATTACCCTACCCTGGGGGTTCAGCAAGAAGAATTATGGGATAGTTTACCCTTTCAAAATAGTCCGACAAAAAGCCCAATGTGTATTTTTATATGCATGCCACGAGGAACACTTTGTCTTAGGTTGAGTCAAATCGGAGGGGGACACCAAAGTATCTTTCCTTGTTAGCTTGCCGTGTAAAATATTTTTGCCTCGATCGTTCTTCGTGTTTCTTATTCGGCATTCGTCTTTCCCTTTTAGTTGTCTTCGACGGGGAGACGATAGAAGGAGCGCCTCCCCTGTGGTGCGCAGCTGCAGCTGGCCACATCGCCTTGGTAAAACTGTTGGTGAAGAGCGGCGCCAAGGTAAACTCCACCACCAAGACGAAGTCTACACCTCTCCGAGCGGCCTGTTTCGATGGTCATGTTGCAATCGTCAAGTTTCTGGTGGAGCACGGTGCAGGTATACAGTTGCGAACACTTATTTTAAATGTCTGTCATCTCGCATGAATGCAATGAAGGGCGCTTACTACTCCAGGAATTCCCAGTGCTTCGCCGGGACGACGATTGCGAACGTATTTCTGAATCGATTTAGAAGATCAAGTGGTTGTTTTAACGGTAAAGAATGTACGTGGTTTACGTGAGAGCGATTTCCGATAAGTAGTCATTTTCATATAAAAAATGCAACAACGTAATTTGGAAGCACTTTTCATTCGGAAGAAAATGCTTTATCGAAATTTCCTCTCATATGAATACACGTTAACATTTTATCTTTAAAACGAGCCCACGATCGACTAGATCGATTCAGTAATATAGTTAAAATTGTTGCCTCGTGATGCACCTTTTCTGCGATTTTCGGATTCTTCGTTCGCGTTTTGGGGTCCCTACGGTATTGTCGAATTTTACTCTTTCGTTACCTTGGACGAGATATCTCGCGACCCAATACTGGCCAATTAACGCTTTTGACGAGATATCTCGTGACCCGATACTGGCTGATCAACGCTTTTGACGAGATATCTCGCGATCCGGTTGTAGCCGATCAACGCTTTTGACGAGATATCTCGCGACCCGGTAGTAGCCGATCAACGCTTTTGACGAGATATCTCGCGATCCGGTAGTAGCGGATTAACGCTTTTGACGATAATCTAGCTTCCTAGCACTAATATTTTGACATTCTAGACAAATTATTTTGTGTTCTGCCTTTGAGTTTTTATGTCGCTTATGGTATGTCTTGAGCATTCATCTAGAATGTCAAAATATTGGTGCTAGAAAGCTAGATTATCGTCAAAAGCGTTAATCCGCTACTACCGGATCGCGAGATATCTCGTCAAAAGCGTTGATCGGCCAGTATCGGGTCGCGAGATATCTCGTCAAAAGCGTTAATCGGCCAGTATTGGGTCGCGAGATATCTCGCCCAAGGTAACGACAGGGTTAAGCGGAACGTTCAACTTAGGTGTGGGGGTGTCGGTATTTCGGACACGCGAAGCACATCCTAGAATTTACGCAATCTAGTCTTTATGTGGGTCCTATCCGCAGAGAAAACAATTCTTATCATTCCTACAATTGTGTTAACCATGGCAGCAATCGCAGGTAAATATAAAGACGGTAGTGCTGCAAAGTTATTATTGGGCTGCCAAAAATTTAAAATTAACAATTTAATTAAAGTATTTAAATAGTAGTATTTAAATAGTAAAATAAAATATAAAGTAAAATTAACAATTTAATTCAAATATATATTATTACAACGAATGATTGCAATTTCAATACGACAGTCATGTTTACAATCGTTAAGGCATGAACTAGTCAATTGAAGTAACAGGTATCACAAGGAAGGTATCCTAGGTCGATCTCTCCGATTTGATTTCTTTTATAATATGTTATAGTAGACTAAAAACTAAGCGACACGTATTGTTTTTTATCTGCTATTAAGAACTTTAAGGGGGTGAAACCACCATTCAAAGTAAGGCCTGTGAGGGGTGGTTCACCGGTTAATTTTTTTTTTTTAATTGCGAAAATTATATTTTTCATTTTTCGTTATGAGAATGCTTTTCCAGGTGGATTAGTTAAAAAATATTATGTTCTTCCGGGTGAAACTGCCAAATCGCTCCTTGACATGCCTTACTTTGGATGGTGGCTTCACCCCCTTAAAGTGTTTAATGGCAGATAAAAAAAATACGCGTCGCTTAGTTTTTAGTCTACTATAACATATTATAAAAGAAATCAAATCGGAGAGATCAACCTGGGATACCTTCCTTGTTAGCAAGTGCATATGGTAACGTTCGCAAATGTAACACCGAACGTCAATGCATACAGGAAGTATCATTCGGTAATGTATTTATTACTGTTAAGGTGGTCATAAAATACAATACCCACATGTGTTCTTTCCTGTCGATTATTGAACGACTCCTATGTGGAAAAATTTGAGGGAACTGGCCAGGCGCTCACGAGCTCGTTTAATCTCAAATCGGATCCTGAGTAGACGGTCTGATCAGAGGCTGATCAGATATATAACGCTTCGTATGGCTTAGGTCTAGCCTACAATAGCTACTTCTAGCCAGTACGGCTTGTTCGTGGTTTGAATTGTCAGGATTCGATAAACTATTTCTTTTTTAACACTAGGTTTACGGGACCCGTCAGTTTGACGGAATTCAAACTTCAAAAAGAAATACCGAAAAAACCATAGCATTAATTTTAACCATTTTTGTATCGTAAATTAATCATTTCATCCAAAGAATTTGTAAACGCAATTATTTTTTCCTAAGCCTTCAAATTATTAAAATCTGTATGTAGTATACCTATCTCTACGAAACCCGTCAAATTGACGGACTAGCTAATTTCATAAACAATCCATATATATTTGCTTCGTTGCAGTGAGTGTAAGGCGAAGATGAGAGTGAAAGTTTGCATTGAAAGTGTAGAGATAGAAGGATCCTCGGATAGTGAAGAGGAAAACTTCTTGAAAGGGTGTCGTAGCAAGAAAAGGATGCGCATTCTTTCTAGTTCTGACTCCGAGGATGAGAGGACGAGCATTCCAATCATTTCCGTGATAATTTTTAAAAAAGGACTTTTTACTTATTAATAATTTATTTATACGTAAAGCCTAGGGTTGTTTAATACAGACTTAATTTGAATAAATCGATTTTTTAAAGAAAATGCGTGTTTTTGTTTACCCATCAATTTGACGGGTGCTCGTAGAAACAGGTATATAAAAAACGCCCACAAACCTAGTGTTAATGTCGGAACTATTGAAAACAAATATTGATAAAGTGACTTATTAAATAACATCAGAATAAGTTTGCGAGGATACGAATATGAATACACGTTCAATTACGGTCGAAAGTACAGTCCAGTCGAATAAATGGTCGAATACTTCTTTTTTTATACGTTGATAAACATCCATAAATTTCATCAAAATCCCCGACCTGTTTGATGCGACCTTCCATTAATAGGTATTCAACGGTTTATGCTTAAAAAAAAATTAAAAATTCAATAAGTGACCTGTTAACAATTTAATCGATTTATTCAACATTATCGATCCTTCCGTGTGGGCCCCTTTCCGCCAACTTAAGGTGAAGTGAAACAAGTCAAGGAACTTGATCAACGTCGATAAAGAAGATTGTTCTAAATGCCTACGTTGCCGACGTCCGTTTTTATATTGACAGCTGGGTCGAATTATATTGTGTATAGTACTACATGGCATATTCCACCTGTCGTTTTCGTACAATAATTATAAAGAAATCGAAGTAAAACTCCAGAAATCCTCTGGATTCATGCTTTCTGGGGCCCTAATTGACTGCGGAGGGACCCTCTGCGCCATCTATGATTTCCAGGTCAATTAAATTTTCACTCCGAGACCTCGTATTACCATCGTTTTAGCATAGAAGCGCATACAACACTTTTTTGCTTTTATTCCGTTCAAATGCGAGTTTATCGATTACCAGAGTGTTCTAAATTGTCGTAAAATTGTCCTGACCCTTTCGATTCTCATATTAGAGCCTTTGATAATTGAAAATCCATTGAAATATGAGGGCTCGACGCCATTTTGGTTCTGGTCTGGGCTGAGTTAAAAAATTTTGTTAAAAAATCCAAATTTTGAACGCGTCAGGACAATTCTTAGATGATCAGGAGTGATGTGTCAAAGTTTCGGACAGTATGGTCTAATACCCTTTAAAAAAAGTGTTGTATTCGAATTGACTGATTTGATAGGGGTTTCACTTCACCTTAAGCCTCGTAAAATAGATAGGAAAACGGGACCCCCGCGATAACCGAACCACCCTTGCACCTGCGAGCCCATAAATTCGGCTCAAATCATAATATTTATTAGTCTTCCTAGAAAAAGAAAGTCAATCTCCCTCTTCTAATAACATTTTCTCCCAAATTTCCCTACTCCAAGCTAAACCCTCCAATTAGAAACTTCCAAATCCCACTCATCCCAGAAGTCCCATTTTTCTAACTTCTTTCCCAATAAAAGATTCTCCAACTCCACTCTCACTCATTTTTTCCAATGAGTAATTTTTCCAATTCCCACCACCTCAAATTTTCTCAATAGGAATTTGAATTTTTACCCTCACCGAATTTAGGGACTCAAGCGTCGGGGGTGGCAATAGTATAAAAGCTGGTGTTTAAGCAGCGAGCGACAAATTCTTAACAAAATTTCTTGGTAATTCTTAGATAAAATTCTTAGACAATTCGCTTAGAAAAATTTCTTGAATATCCTTAGCCGATTCTGAGAAAATCTGTGAAGCTAAATCTTGCTTAATTTTATCCATCTTAATTCTTAAATTTTGGTCATTCTCTAGTCTAAAATTTTGTTCGAGGAGCCTACATCGCTTCGAAGAAGGGTTTAAGGTATTTAGAAAATACTCTCATCACACACACACACGCGCGCACATGAATATTCTCACGATCTCCTTTTACACAATAAACCAAGTAAAACGAGCTCCTATTTTTCTCTTTTTTCACGACCTACACCTCCACCCATATCGATAAGTCCGCGTAAGACTCGGTGAGGGGTCCACAAGATTCCTATTCTTAATTCCTTTGAATATACAGAAGGCACGGGGGCTAGGTCTCGCCTTCCCTTCAATATTCGAATATTTTTCTCTTTTCTTTCATTTCCTCAATTGCAAGGAAAGCGCGGGGGCTAGGTCTTTCCCCCCTTCCGTACGCGAATAATCCTATCTATTCATTCGATTATACAGCAGTCGTGGGAGCTAGGTCTGGCCTTCCCTCCTGTATACGAATCATTTCCCTCTCCGTCTCCAGACGTTACAATACCCGAAATTAGGTATTGCTTTAATTGGAGTTAGTTATTTATTTTAATTCGGATTACTTTGAAAAATTCGCTTTGCAATTTAAAAAAATTTTTTGAAGGTCACGAAACGAAGACAATGGAAGCCAGAAGGCATGAAAAAATCAGGGGTAGCGGGGCGTAATAACGAAATGGGATATCTTAAGACCCATAAGGTATATGAAGTACCTAAGTCTACAGGATTTGAAAAGAAGGCTAATTGCGCAAATGTCTTGAATAAAATATTAAGATTTTAATTTTTATTCTTTTAATTTTTAATGTATCGTATTATGTCATTAAGTTGATTCTCAGTTCTTTGAACGTCATTTGAATTTACGACAAATAAATAATTTACTATATTTGCATTGTTAGTTTTATTTTATTATATTTTTAGTATTATACCCTAAAATTCTTATGCATTCAAAATTAGGCACCCACTCCACCCGAAATTAAGATCCCTTTGATTCACTCCAAACAAAGCAATGTTATCGACATCGACTATTTTTTTTCCAAAAATTCAATTTTCACTGCGATCGTGTTAGCTTGACGTTAAGGTAGCGCATTCTATCCGCAAGCAATGCAATAAGATAAAAACAAGAACATCAAATTTACCAGCGAATTATGTGCTCGTCGAATATCGTATTCCTAAATTTAAATCTCTATCCCGTATGTGCCAAAATCCACCCCCTTCTCGGGTACAAGAAGTAACTGCTTGTGTACCGTCGCGTCGTCCACGTGAGCGTTTGTTGCTGTCCTCGGGGCATAAATCCGGGACCTCGCGATTTGCAATTAAACTCGCGAACACGAAGATAACGCGACGACCGTACGCCAACTTAATATTGCACGGCTGGTTTTAAAATGAACATGGACCTGAGCTAAGCTGCTCTTATGGTCGGGTGATTTCTGTTGAAATCCGTGTGCGATATTCTCTTGTTGAGAATTGACTGGTTGAAGTTAGTGAATCAAGTCGACTGGTTAAACTGTGGGAACCAAGTCGACCGATTGAAAGTAGTGAATCAAGTGTCGCTCTTCGAGGATCGCAAAGCTCACGAAGGTAGCGTCCGCATGCCTCCCTCGCAGAGTGGGAGTTTAACAAATTTGAGATTCTCGAATCAGAGAATCGTGTGGGAGGAGTAATGTTGGAAATTCTGAAATTACTTGAGTTTTCTCCGGAAAATAACCCCCAAAAAATGTAAAGGAGGGATTCCTCCAATGCCGATTGGTTAACTCCCTTGGACGTGCCAAATTTTTAGGTGCCGTCCTTTACTTCGTCCTTGAGTGTCCCAGGTGACTCGCACATGGGGTCGTTCGAGATCGACAAGAGTTGGCCAGGCACGGAAAATTCCAAGTACCACTAGGTAGTCGAACACTTGGGCGCCTTGGAGTCAATCTTTTTAAGGGTTTATTAGTGTTGGATCATTTGGAACCGGAAATTTATCAAATCCAAGGGTTTTTTTGAGAATAAATGAAACCGTGAGCGTGAAGCAATATACGTCCCTCGGTTCGACGTTTAAAATAAATTACTACGACCGTTGTAAAGCGATAAAGAAACGCGAAGGAAAGTTGTTCTCGGCATTGGGGCTGAAATCCTGAGAATTTGCGAAATCCGATTATCAAACATGTGGTTGAATCTAATGTGTCAGGGTGTATGTACGCAACAGCTTGAAACTTAAGAAATCTTATATTCTTCATATCTTCATTGGTGTGGAAAATTGTTTCATTAATTTGACATTTTATAAACTGAGCTGCTGCTTCTAATAAACGACTTAAATAGGGTGTTGCATTCTACGGCACTTGAGAATCTTGCAGTAGGGAGACCACACGTTTCGAGGTAAAACTGTATGCTAATTGCTCGTCTTCTTCCAGATATCGAGGTTGCCAACAGGCATGGCCACACTTGCTTGATGATTGCCTGCTACAGAGGTCACGTTACAATTGCCAAGTTCCTACTGTCCCTAAAAGCGGATACCAACAGGAAGTCCATCAAGGGAAACACGGCCCTTCACGACTGCGCCGAAAGCGGCTCCCTAGAGATCCTCAAAGCCCTCGTTGAGCATGGGGCGAGATTGGACGTGGATTCCTACGGGATGACACCACTTCTCACTGCCGCGGCAACAGGTGACTGTTCTTGGATTTCTGAATCATTGGACGCATCGTGGAAAATTGATGGTTTTCTGCAGAAAATTAGTGGCATTCCATTTTGGGCGCAAAACGTGCAATGTAATGATGAGATCGTATACCTTGAAAGATATAACATTTTTTGGAATCTTTATATCTAACATAAGATGTACTTTCGAAAATTGAGACAAAAACACGGGGAAGGATTTCGTATCTTTTATTTGTCCTGTTTGTTTGCTCGACAGTTGTTATAGGAATCCCGATTGTTTTTGCAGACAGAACTGCACAATGGAATGTTCATATAACTGCTCAAGTGGCAGAGTACACCCGAAATTGAATGAGACTTGTCTCGAACAACAAGAAACTTTTAATTTATTTTAATAGTAATTCGGCGAGTGACTTGGGGTGAGCTCTGCCACTCATTCACGCGTGAATAAAAAAAAAGTAGAGCAGAAGCGAAGGTGAACGCTGACGAGAAAATAAATTCCAAAAAACGTTCAAGATTCCTCCTCTGTTGCGTTACATTTTCGGAGGAGGAGATCAATTTCGTTAATAACGATTGGCTGACTAACATACAAAAGAGCGGTTAAAAATTAAGTAGTTGGTCTCGTCATCGGTCGTAAGCTATACAGAGCTGTTGGTCAAAAACGGAAAATTTCTGGTCGCCGTGGAAATGAAAAAAACATGCCGTGCGTACGTGTTAACGGTATAAAAAAAGCCTAAACGATTCAGCGACGAATATTAGAGACGGCCTAACCAGGAAGGTTTCTGAGAATCGTAAAACACTCAAAAGGGACTGTTTCGTTTTTAGGTGGGTTACGTAAAGTTTTAAATAAGAAAATAGGCCTTCGAACGTAAAAACGTTGTCATGGGCCAAATTTAATATTGCACGACTATGTAGGGTTATGTGGTAGACACAGAATGGATATTGTACTTCGTGTGGTGCATGAGTGTTCTATGAAATATTATTCGATCGCGCATGGAACACGGTTCATATCGGTGATGTATAGCTTTGCTTTCTTTGCTTTGTTACTAAGGATTCCGTGATTCCAAACATTTCTTTGAGTGCAAAATTCGCGTGTGATTGGCCGGAAAAAAATACGTATTATTTAGACAGTAGATATTATTATTTATACACGACATACGTGTCATGTGCACGTTAACCTGTTTCGTTTTTAGGTGGGTTACGTAAAGTTTTAAATAAGAAAATAGGCCTTCGAACGTAGAAACGTTGTCATGGGCCTAATTTAATATTGTACTACTATGTAGGGTTATGTGTTAGACACAGAATGGATATTGTACTTCTTGTGGTGCATGAGTGTTCTATGAAATATTATTCGATCGCGCATGGAACACTGTTCATATCGGTGATGTATAGCTTTGCTTTCTTTGCTTTGTTACTAAGGATTCCGTGGTTCCAAACATTTCTTTGAGTGCAAAATTCGCGTGTGATTGACCGGAAAAATAAAACGTATTATTTAGACAATAGATAGTATTATTTATACACGACATACGTGTCATGTGCACGTTAACATACGAATTAATTTAGTATGGGTGTGTGCCGAACAATAGCTACACGGTGAGTGGTTTTACAATGTTCGCTCAAAGACCGATATGTCAATAAAAACAGGGCGCGATACTTCGGCGACAATGCTTCTAAAACGGACGCTTTAAGCAATTTTTGTTTTCTTTCGATATTGCGAATTTGCTGGCATGATAAAGATAATTTAGTACACCACAGCTACTAGACATGTCTGTGCGTATGATCGTAGTAACTTTAATTTCCTTATTACCTGCTTTCAACTATGTACAATTATACATACTTTAAAATACTTATGTATTGCAATTGGGAAAAATCAATCTTTCAAATAACCCGAGAAACTCGAGTCCTTTTGGTTTTTTTTTCTTCAATAAAACTTGATCCACTGTTCTTTTTTTTTTTCCAAAAGAACCGGGTTCTTAACTATCCGACTTAACCAAAGACTGTTTTTCCAGGTAACACCCATATAGTGGAACATCTCATAGGAATGACACATCTGGTGAGTAGGAAGGAACGAATAGATGCGCTAGAACTTCTCGGAGCCACATATGTTGACAAGAAGAGGGACATAATCGGGGCTCTGGAGTTCTGGAAACGAGCCATGGAAGAGAGGTGAGCTTTCGACTTTCTGCGATAACAATATGAGTTCCACATTCAGGTTCAAACCGTATTTTCATGACGAAAGAATCATTTATTGGAACTCGAATCCACGTCTTTGCTCTTTTCTGGCAAGTTTTCGGGCCTAACTAAACATTTCAAGCACTGCTAAAAGACCCCTAGCTGAGTTACCGATGTTTCCGTTGACATTAATTCTGTTTTTGTCTAATCTTCGCATCTCCGTTGCTTTAGGTACAGAGGAGAAGGCCCTGTGATGCCGAAACCACCACCACCTCCTGCGATAGCAGCCTACGATTACGCCCGCGAGATTTGCGACTTCGAGGCACTGGATGAGCTGCTGACCGATCCTGACGAGATGCGGATGCAAGCTCTGGTCATCCGAGAGAGAATCCTAGGACCGGCGCATCCGGATACTAGCTACTACATCCGATATCGGGGAGCCGTGTACGCGGATGCCGGCAAGTTCAGCCGATGCATTGACCTTTGGAATCATGCCCTGGATATTCAACAGAGTATGCTCGAGCGGCTGAATCCTATGACGCAGAGCTCTCTGTTCAGCTTCACGGAGCTCTTTAGTTTTATGATAGGTGAGGAACACACGCAGTCGAGTAGAGGGCGCCGTGTTCCGTCGCTACAGCGAGAAGAGCTCATGAAAGTCTTCAAAAAAGCGGTAATTCTAATAGTTTTGACTCTTAACACGTTGACTGCCAGGCGCATTTTATTTGACTGGTATGTCACCCGAATATGGGTGACGTGGAAGTCAACGTGTTAATCGCGACGTGTTCCATGCATTGCCGTTTCAAGTTACTTTTGATGTTTCACTAGGTCCTCGAAGTTCGCCTAGGGAAGCAAATGCTGGACAAGATGCCACCTTGCGAACGCGACCTCACGTACTTAAACCGAGTTCTGGTGGTGACGTTACACCTGGCTAGTCTTTTAACTCGCGAGACTCCACCTGCAGGCACAATAGAATACACAGAGCTGCACAAAGAGATCTACGAGCTCGTCAAAATAAACGCACGGGGCCTACACGTAAGCATTGGACAAGCTAATTCAATGTCTCGTAATAACGAAGTTAGGGTCTGTGTTTCGTCGTGTCGTCAACGTGAGCGATCGTTGCCGTCCTCAGGGCGTAAATCTGGGACCTCGCGATTTGCAATTAAATTCGCGAACACGACGATAACGCGACGACCGAACGCCAACTTAATTTTGTACGGTTGTTTTTTGTATGAACGTAAACCCGAGCGAAGCTGCTCTTATGGTCGGGTGATTTCTTGTTGAAATCTGTATGCGACGTTCTCTTGTTGAGAATTTTGAATGAAGTTGACTGGTTGCAGTTAGTGAATCAAGTCGACTGGTTAAAATGTGCAAGCCAAGTCGAGTGATTGAAAGTAGCGAACCAAGTGACGCTCTTCGAGGATCGCAATGTTCTTGAAGGTAGTGTCCGCCGTGCCTCCCTCGCAGTGGGAGATTGGCAAAATTGAGATTCTCAAATCAGAGAATCGTGTGGGAGGAGTAATGTTGGAAATTCTGAAAATACTTGAGTTTTCTCCGGAAAAAATCCCGAAAAAAATGTACAGGAAGGATTCCTCCAATGCCGATTGGTTAACTCACTTGCACGTGCCAAATTCTTAGGTGCCGCCCTTTGCCGCGTCTTTGAGGGTTCCAGGTGACTCGCACATGGGGTCGTCCAAGATCGACAAGAGTTGCCCGGGCACGGAAAATATAAAGTACCACTAGGTAGTCGAATACTCGGACGCCTTGGAGTCAACCTTTTTATGGGTCTATTAGGGTTTGACCATTTGAAACCGGAACTTTAACAAATCCAAGGGTTTTTTGAAAATGAATTAAACAGGTGAGCGTGAAGCAATACATGTCGCTCGGTTCAACGTTTAAAATAAATTACTACGACCGTTGTATAGCGATAAAGAAACGCGAAGGAAAGTTGTTTTCGACATTGGGGCTGAAATCCTGAGAATTTGAGAAATCCGATCATTGAACATGTGGTTGAATCTAATGTGTCATGATGTATGTACGCAACAGTCTGCTAACAATATTTCGCGAAGAAACATTAACATTGCAAAATAAGTTAACTGCTGAATGCCGCAATCATTATGACGGTGATTTCTAAAGGCTAAAGGCATTATAGCCGGAGTGGGGCGCAGGGCATCGCCCTGCAAAAATGCGGGAGCGCACATTAAAGACGGGTCGGGCCGGACCGCCTCACATTAAAACATATAATTTTCGTTTTAGTTGTCAATTGACTCCTGCATGCATCCGGACGTTTTCCGAAAGGGATAGTTACGACGAAGAACTTTATTTATTTAAAATTCTTTTCGACGAAGAAATGGATAAAAGAGAACTAGAAAAAAACATAGTATATGGTATTGCAATATTTGCTTGAAAAGAAAGTTATTTGGAGAATTTCCAATCTTTTTGAAGATTTACTCGAAGATGAGAAAAAATCGATAAGTCGATAAGAATTGACGGGAGCCTGTATGTGATAACGGTATATTATGAGCAAATTTTCAAATCGCCTATATACCAACGGTAATTACACGGTTAATGATAGTTATCCGCAAGTTTACAGCTCACGCCCCAGTGCAATACACGTTTCGTGTTGCGTAAGCTTTTGCGCAGATTCGTCGCACACTTTGACGGAGTGGAGCGAGTCGCAGCGGGTCCGCGAAAAAATCTACCTAGCAAGCGATTCGTCGATGTGCCCCGTCTGTAATATACAATACTCCACATAAAAACTATGAAATCGATCCCGTGCGGATTTTTGCAATGCAATGCGATGCGTTGCGATCCGCCCCGGCATAATGTGCGCGGACTTTAAGGTGAAGTGAAACACGTCAAGGAACTTGATCGACGTCGATAAAGAAGATTTTTCTAAATACCTACGTTGACGTTCGTTTTTATATTGACAGCTGTGTCGAATTATGTTGGGTATTGTATCAAATAGCATACTCCACCTTTCGTTTTCGTACAATAATTATAAAGAAATCGAAGTAAAACTCCAGAAATCCTCTGGCTTCGTGCTTTCTGGGGTCCCAATTGATTGCAGAGGGACCCCCTGCGCCATCTGTGATTTTCAGGTGACTTACATTTTCACGACAAGACCTCGTATTCTCATCGCTTTAGCATAGAAGCGCATACAACACTTTTTTACCTTTATCTCGTTCAAGTGCGAGTTTATCGATTACCAGAGTGTTCTAAATTGTCGTACAATTGTCCTGACCCTTTCGTTTCTCATATGAGAGCCTTCGATAATTGTATATTGATCGAAATATGAGAGCTCGACGCCATTTTGGTTCTGGTTTGGGCTAAGTTAAAAAATTTTGTCCAAAAATCCAAATTTTGAATGTGTCAGGACAATTCTTAGATGATCACGAAGTCATGTGTCAAAGTTTCGGACAGTTTGGTCCAATACCCTTAAAAAAAAGTGTTGTAATCGAATCGACTGATTTGAAGGGGGTTTCACTTCACCTTAATAGTGCCTTTGCAATTGGCCAGTAGCGCATAAGCTATGGTTTTAGGTTAGCCAATGAAGGACTCCGTAAAGTCAAAACAATTATTGATAACATTAGAAGTGCTCGAATCGCGTGAAATTTCTGATGGGCATTCTACGAAATAAATTATACAAACGATGAAGACCAAGGCACGATTAAACTAGATATTTACGAAATGCGACAGCTGGACAGTTAATGACGGATGATGCACTAAAAAACGAAGAATCACTGACTGCTTATCACGGCTAACGACTGATTTAGGCTGGAGTCTGAGAACGTCTCAAGGTCGCAATACCAATCAGAATTGCGGCGAAACCGGTGCTTGGAGTCAAGCGCAGTTCCGATTGGCTTTTCTCGATGAGTTAACGCGTGGTACTCTGTGTAACGTCTGACTAGTTCAGGAGGACTCCGCGGCTATACAATCCCGAGGCATTAAGGTGATATGAAAGTGGCGTCAAAGAGGTCTCGTTCGTGAAACTTTTCTCCAAACTGGGTGTACTGAATCGATTCAAACATTACATCATAAATATGGAGGGTGTAAGGAAGGTTCAGAAACTCTTAAAATTGAATTTTTTTTTATAATTTGTTAATAGATATTTTTAAAATGTGCTATAAAAAAACGTAATTTCACGGGTGTCAGGGCCTTATAGCTTGCACATTCACGCTGTAAAGTTTGAAACGATTCAGCACATCTAGTTTGGAGAAAAGTTTCATGAACGATTGAGTCTTCGGATGCCACTTTCATAACCTCTTAAGGTGATAGAAAAGGGTCTGAAGGGTCAAATCGTTCGTGAAAATATTCCCCGAATTGGGTGTAGCGATTCCTTTCAAATTTTATAACATGAATATGTAGATGTATGTGATATGTAGGTCATAAAGTAGGTCCTGAAACTCATGAAATTTTATTTTTTAACAAACCATATTTTATTTATCGTGGACTCGAACCAACATGGCGTCATCCATGCTCGTTTATGATGTTTTACGATTTTTTAAGAGTGTAACAGACCAACATAAATATAAATGTCGGCAACGTGACGCGCCAACTTATGTTACCACTTGAGCATCCAATATGGCGTAACCATCAAAAAGGGTATAGTTGAATTTTATTTTATTGACGTCGATTAAATTTCTTGGCGCCATTCATATCACCTTAATCCAGCAATAAACATGACGATGGCCCACAAACTGACATATTTCATGCACTGATTACTATGGTACCATTGACTTGACAAAAAGTGTCATATGTAGCCGAATGCTCGCCAGAAATTTTCGGACACGGCGTTATTTTTCACGTCTAGAGCTTAATCAAGCTCCTCAACCAAGTAGCACTATAATACTTTAAGATAATATGAAAATGGTGTGCGCGGGGTTAGTGGTTTATGGAACTTTTTTCCGAACTGGGTGAACCGAATCGTTTGAAACTTTTTTCCGTGAATAAAAAGACCTTAACATCCATAAAATTAAAAGATTATACATTTTTTAGAAAAATGACATTTCATAGGTATCAAGGCCTTTTTTAGGACCTCTATATTCACATGGTAAAATTTCAAAGAATTCTATACGCCCAGTTTGAAGAAAAATTTCATGCACCTATCAAACGTCACTTTCATATTACCTTAATGGGATCGCATTCATGGCTACCATCCACATATTCAAATATTGAATAGATGAATATCGAAATAAAAAATGTACATTTATACTTTATTGAATATGTTCTAAATTGCGTTACTTTGAAACCATTTAGAAATTGTAAAAGTATTACATTTATAATTGAAAAATCGAATTTAATTTGTCCTCTGCAGTTCCGTTGGATATAAGTAAAAAATATATCAAAGTTACTGAACATCATGTACGGCATCAAATATTTAATTTTGAGACGTTCCAGAGGCGAGGAACTTGCGTAAACTTCCCAATTGGTATTCAACGAAACGAATAACATTTGCCAACGAAGACGTTGGCAACGATACGAAGAAACTAAATACTCACGAAAAATGTCAGTAGATCAGTTTATGACGAATCATGCACTGCGAAATGAGATATCACTCGCTGAAAATTGGCCCAGTGAGAAGACTAGGATTCCGAGGTGATAATTCGACAATGAACATAATGTCAACGCAAACACGGACCGTTTGACAAATTTTATGCATCCACTGATTCTTACAGCTCCCACAATTCGACGAAAACGTGAAAAAATGTAGCCAAATATCGGTTGGGAATTTTACGCGATTTTCTTGTCTCTGACGTCAAAATTAAATATGGCCGACCTGACTTTACTGAATTCTTAACAACCATAACTTCACAAAAAGAATAAAAGGTGAAAGCAAAATCATGCTTTCATGGTAGAATAACAGCTAGGTACACTTATGAACGGTTTCACCAACATCAATTGATTCTTGATTATCTATTCGTACGTAAAAGCAAACGCAAAAACAATTGTAATCGAGGTTGATGGTATCAAGTCTTAGTGAAGTATCTTACATGAATAGACGAATTTCAAATTGACGACTAAAAAAATCAGCATACGACACATAAAGTCGTGAGATATTTTATATACCGGCAGGCACGAATGTCTTTTCATCATACACTGATAGCAGATCCATAAGGAAAACATTCGTATTCGCCATAGGACAATAAATCGACTCCTAGACAATTGACAGACTTTTTCTTACTCTCATGCACAATTTTTGTTTTATATTTATTTCGTCTGTTATATGCCATCAAAATGCTGACGAGTAAATAAGTAGGGGGAATTAAACATTGCTCGTAACTGACATGAAATAATTCAAATGAAATATGTTCGGACAACGTCCTCGAGTTATAAATTCCAAGCAATTATGGTGAAGTGAAACCCCCCTTAAATCAGGCGGCTCGAATAAAACACTTTTTTTTTAGGGTATTGGACCAAACTGTCTGAAACTTTGAAACATGACTCGTGATCATCTAAGAATTGTCCTGACACATTCAAAATTTGAATTTTTGGAAAATATTTTTCAACTTAGCCCAGATCAGAACCAAAATGGCGTTGAGCTCTCATATTTCGATCAATATACAATTATCGAAGACTCTGATATGAGAAACGAAAAGGTCAGTATTTTATGACAATTTAGAACACTCTGGTAATCGATAAACTCGCATTTGTACGGGATAAAGGCAAAAAAAATGTTTTATGCGCTTCTATGCCAAAACGATGGAAATGCGAGGTCTCGGAGTTAAAATTGAATTGACCTGGAAATCACAGATGGCGTAGGGGGTCCCTTTGCAGCCAATTAGGGCCTCAGAAAGCCTGAATTCAGAGGATTTCTGGAGTTTTATTTCGATTTCTTTATAATTATTGTACGAAAACGACAGATGGAGTATGCCATTTAGTGCAATACCCAATATAATTCGACACAGCTGTCAGTATAAAAACGGACGTTGGCAACGTAGGTATTTAGGAAAATCTTCTTTATCGACGTCGATCAAGTTCCTCGATGTGTTTCACTTCACTTTAAAAGGGAATGGTACAATTAAAAAAAAGCCCGAGTTGACCGTGCTGCCACGTAACGGCAAGTAGTGGCAACACGTGTTAAGTAAGCGCCGTTTCTGTAGCATGCCGTGGAAGTAACGGTACCGCAATTTTGATGTCAAGCAGCCTTATTTCAGAAACTTCGAGCATTAGTTATCGGGCGTCGGGTCTAAAAAAAAAGTCATACTTCACGTAAAGCAATTGATTTGTTAATAAGAAATCCATTAAAAAAAAAACATCTATTGTACTACACAAGAAAAGAACTCGACATTTATAAGTTGTGCGTTTTTGTGACGCGTATACGTGTTGCATCGAATAGAAAATTCTACACGGACCCTGATAAATACGGTCATGTAGCTAGCTGTTTCTACCAGTCGTCCACTGCGCATCTTCTATAGCGCATGACGTCACGACGACTATCAGCGCTTGTGGCGTAAATTTGCTCAAGTTTAATGCGAGGGAAATGTCCTCGTTCACAGTTTGATTTTTATTAGTGGTTCTGTTTAACAGCACCGTAAGCGTTGAACAAGTAACGACATAGGCCGTGTTCGACCGCCATGACAGATCCGTGGGTTGCCAGTATGGGTTTCTATTCATTATTATACTTTTCCTGACAAATAATTTAAAAATCTGGTCCAGGAGGGAAAGCTGTATTTTTGGAAGGCTATGATGTCGTCAATTTAAATTATTCACAGTACTTCCTGTATAGACATTTTTAGGTGCGAAGTGTCCCCGCTTTCAGCTCTCGCAGGGGTGAAAACGCACAGAGAGAAAATGACGTACCATTCCCCCTTAACCGATGTAAGAACGATGTTACAGTAGAAGAAACACTAAAAATATAAATAAGGTCGAGCTCGTTCCGCAAGGGCATCGAACAATTCCGATCTAATTATTCAATTTTAATTGTTTAATAGGGCAGAGACGTGCTCCAGTTATCGGTCAACGCTCACCAAGCTCTAATGGGAAGATACCCTGCCTGCAAGTTTCCATCGGATCATCTGACAGCGGCTCTCCTGAGATCCGGCGCGGACGTGACGAGTGGCGACATCCACGGGAACACCGCGCTCCATTTGGCGGCGCAGAGCTCCAATAATCTCAGCCTTATGCATCTTCTATTAGAGGCAGGTGCTCACCTGGACGCCGTCAACTACCGGCGGAAGACCTTGAAGCACTTGCTCCAAGCGCGAGATTACGCTGCCTTAAACCCCGTTAAGTACACCACTTTGGCCTGTCTGGCGGCTCAAGTGGTCAGGAGGACACAGCCCATCAAAAACGTCCCAAAGCACCTGCGGAGCTTCGTGCGGCTTCACTAGTGCAGATTTCGGACGTGGCTTTACGTGCAGATTGTCATCTTTTATCCGCGAGCGATACGGATAATACCGTTTCTCACGAATAACAACCGCTCTCCCAGCCGGCGAATTACGCAGAAGCAAAAAGGTAAATGACCCTTTGGAAGCAGGTAGATTGCAATTTACCCATAAGTCTTATTCCGATAATGCTCAGCGGACGTCCTCGACTACACGGTGGATTTTATCAGAGGCCGGAGAAGCGTTTTCTGTAGGTCGGTCAGAGGATGTTCGGATATCGTCCGGCGTTTGCGACACCAAGGCACAGAGCGGACATCCTCGGGCTGCGTCGGAGCTATCAAAGAGAACCCTGACCGTGTCCTCGACGATTTGCATCGAGGACTAAGACGAGAAGTACCGTTATCTTCCCTTATACATAAACCCCCTTCGCGTAGGCCATATCACAGCGTCTTAACGAAGCTTAGTCGTAGTGCACGAGATATTTAAATTAAGTGTTGTATTAACTTCCCTGGCCGTGACTTCTCTCCGTGCGACATATAGACGAACAAAGGCAAGGTGGTCGAAAGCGATATTTTTAGGATGTACTTGCTTGATAGGGGAGAGAAGAAATCGGATATTTAGAGGACTCCGAATTCTTGGTCGAACTTACGTTCGAGAACGGGTCGGGCCGGGGTATGATGAAATATTAATTCCCACTCTTTGCAAGGTGAACGTTTCACGTTTTATAATGTAAAGATTGTGAAAAATACAAAGTGTGATTTAAAAAAGACTATATCGTACATTCATTGCGTGACCCTACTTACCGGTTCCTCCTCGGGCGATCGAGACTCCCGGGCTGGTTCGTCCTACAAGAATAGGTTTTATGAAACGACGTTGCACGAGGATTACATCGGTCTACTTATCTTCATCTTGCAGGACACCCGAGGTGCAGTTTGAGGTCATTTGCTGACGACAAAATGTAGTCTTTGTCGTACGATGTTACTAAGACGTTGGATCTCTTAGACTTGCGCTTCCGCCTTCGTTTCTTTTCAGAATCCTGTCGAAACGATAACATACTAGCAATTCTCTATTTCTTGACACGTAAGACGTTTTGATTAATGTAAGGGCATTACGACAAAAAGTAGCTCCGTAACTCTGAAAATTCGCAGTGAGGTTAAAATTAGTGATATTTTTGTGTAACATAAATGAATAAATAATAATACATTTCTTTCGCAATGCATTCGGAGCAATTAAGGGAAGCAAACCCTTTAGAATTTAAAAAAAATCGATTTTCTTTTATTACATACTTCGAAAGTGTAATATATTGAGAATATACTGGAAAAAGGAAAAATCGAAATATTAAATATTTACGAAGTTATTCCACATAATCGAGAGCGCCGGGACCGCATACCTTGAACTAGCGTGAAAGCTGATGCAAGTGGCAGAAAGTTATTGCTTTAACCGTTTGACTGCTAAGCAATTTTTGCAAGAACGCACGAAAATTGCGGAGCAACCAAGAAACACTGAAACTTGCAGCGCAAAAGCGTGCGTCGCGGTTTTCGAGACAAATGAACGCAGCGCTTTTGCGCCGCGTAGCAGTCAAACGGTTAAGGTGAAGTGAAACCCCCTTCAAATCAGTCGATTCGAATACAACACTTTTTATTAAGAGTATTAGACTAAACTGTCCGAAACTTTGACACATCACTCCTGATCATCTAAAAATTGTCCTGACATATTCAAAATGTGGATTTAAAAAAAAAATGTTTTAACTCAGTCCAGACCAGAACCAAAATGGCATCGAGCTCTCATATTTTGATCAATATACAATTATCGAAGGCTCTGATATGAGAATTGAAAGGGTCAGGATAATTTTACGACAATTTATAACAGTCTGGTAATCGGTAAACTCGCATTTGAACGGGATAAAGGCAAAAAAAAGTGTTGTATGCGCTTCTATGCTAAAACGATGGGAATACGAGGTCTCGGAGTGAAGATTTAATTGACCTGGAAATCACAGATGGCGCAGGGGGTCCCTCTGCAGTCAATTAGGGCCCCAGAAAGCATGAATCCAGAGGATTGCTGGAGTTTTACTTCGAGTTCTTTATAATTATTGTACGAAAACGACAGGTGGAGTATGCCATTTGGTACAATACCCAATATAATTCGATACTGCTGTCAATATAAAAACGAACGTCGGCAACGTAGGCATTTAGAAAAATCTTCTTTATCGACGTTGATCAAGTTCCTCGACGTGTTTCACTTCACCTTAACCGTTTTAGTGCCACGCAGCGCGATCGCGTTTTTCGCGTACTGTGGTAAACTGTGTCGCGATGTTGGTCCCGATCGTCAATTCGCAACGCTATTGCGTTTTATGGCACAACCCGACACGGATTTTTAAAAACCCCTGGCACTAAAACGGTTAAACAATGATCCAAATCTTGAAGATCTTACTCCATTGCTTGGCGAAGAGATGAAACAGCATGTCTTACAAATTTATGAAGATTTATCCAGGGACGATCTACTCGAAAGATGCTTGGGTGGCCATACCCAAAATGCTAATGAAAGTTTTAACGACATGGTATGGCAATTAGCTCCAAAGCATCTACATTCTGAACTGAAAATAATTGAAATCACAGCCTACATTGCTGCTGGGGTATTTAACGAAGGCTACACCTTCACTCTGAGAATTATAAACGAGTTGAGCATAATTGTTGGCACCTACTCCAAAGTTTTCGCCGAAAACACCGACGAGGCGCGGGTGGCGAGGCAGAACCGGATGAGTCTTTCTGAGACAAAAGCATCTCGTATAGCCCGAAAACAGCAGCAGATGGCTGATAACCAGCTTTTCGAGGAAGTTGAAGGTCTTTTATATGCGCCTGGAATCGCTGATTGATCGGTAAGACACTAAAACTAATAGTTTTATTGTATTGAAACTTTAGACGCGATTATCTCGAAATTACATTTTCAAAAACTGCTCGTGCTGTAGCTCAAAAAGTTATCGATCGATCTGGCTGAAATGTTAGGAGGTTTCTGTCTATAATATTATCGGAAGGGTGTACCTAAAGTTTGAAGGATATCGCGTAAATAAAGTACTTTTTGGGGGTAAAAATGGTTAAGAAAATAGTCGAAAATTTGAACTTTTCATTAAAAAAAAAAAAAGCTGCTTAACTTTTAATTTTATACTTTTTTATAATTTTATAGGTTTATCCTTCCCCTCCAGTTGTCGGTAATCGGAAAATATTTTTGTTTTCTGTTTCAGATCGATAGAAAAAGTATGACAACTGCAGCACTTTTCGATGTCACGCAAAAGACGCCTGAAGGAATAGCCTATGACGCCGCCATTTTGTTTTGTAAAAAGAAAACAAAAATGTTTTTAAACGCTTAAAAGTTGTAATAAAATAATGTCAACATTTTAAAAAGATGCAATTATTATATCACCATTAAAAAAATTCCTAAAAAAATGACTCATTTTCGGGCGTCTAAAGGGTCTGCTCCCCCTCCCGATCAAGTTTATTTGATTTTATCGTTTAATAAGATCGAACTCCATTTCGCAATTACTAAATCTCGGATTGATGGAAGCATTCGTGTCAGATCTCTTACGGAATTTCAACGGGTCGATATCGTTTATACGAATCCGCGAAACGAATAAAAAATGACAATCACGTGGAATATCGCAGACCAACTGGACAAATGAAGTATGAAGATGTTTCCAATGCACAGGGAGGTGAATGGAGCTAAAGTTGTTTTGCCGAATTCGATTGGTCTCTTTTGTCCCAAGAACGGTATAATATCGATGATGCGCATAACGCATTTGGCACGTGGAATTGCGAATCACAAAGATGCCACGTTTTGTTCAATTCAAATACCGTATAGATCATTGCATTCACGTAATCCTGAATGATCACGATTTAAAACCAAGGAAGAGTTAGAAAAAATGTCACCTGATCGTCGTCGGACCGAAGAAATCGACACTCGATTGTAGTATGGTCACGACTGTAAGTAGACCGTTGTTGGCAAGTAACCAAGAGCAACGATACCCGTAACTTTCGATTTAGCACCGCAGGTGCTTATTTAGGAGACAATAACGACGATAAGCTCGAAACTGCAGGGGCACAAAAATATCACGTAAGTTTGTCACCTACGGAATGCCTCGACCAACGAGTACTCGGTCCGATATCGACGAGAAAAGGAAATAATTGAACGACTTACGTACAAAAGACCAAAATTCCCCAACGGATCGGTATCTCACGATACGGAATATCACTCGTCCTTCGACCCTTAAAGTATCCTATTTTGTAAACATTAACGAGAAAGAAAATAAAAAATCCTTGCCAACATACGTCGCAAGTTTTCACAGCGGAATGTCTAGGTAGAACGATCGAGGCGTCTATAAACTAGTTCTAGCGATAAAAGGATCACAAAACGGGTTCCTCGTTAAAAGTAACATGCCCAGAAAGTCCCACTTGTACCTTTCAGCGATCTAACTTCGAGCCGGCAATGTTCTCCATGCAACGTGTCCTCCTAGAATAACGCAAGCGTCAAGACCGATCCAAAAGTGCATTAGCCAGGGTATGAGTTACCTTTGTACAAAAATCGGTAGAAAGTCACTTCCCAACCTTTGAGTTGATCGTTTACGGTAGGAAGATTCCGGGAATCGAAGAGTTAGCGAACAGCAACCGGGTTCCCAAGAAGTTTCGCATTACTCGGAGGAAAATCATCTCTCTCGTAAAATCGAGGGTTAAACGCCAAGAAAGTGTCTCTCACCTGCACCCCGGAAGGAGCCGATCCTTCCCCGAAATGACGGCGGTGGACACGAAGCGTAATCACTGGTTGAACCGCACAAATAAAATACGTGCATATCTGCATACGAACGACCGTTGCAGTTTTATTTTTATTTTCCTTAGTCAAATTGAAACTGAATTTTATTCAATCACTGTCATGACGCGTGGTAATACAAGAGTCTTATACAGTTGACGGAAATGTTCTCCTCGAGATAGGTCTACCCGAGACGAGAGGGAAGTACGTCGACGAGAGAAGGGTCAGCAGTCAGAGGTCGAAGACGTCACCCTTTGCCGATCGGGCGATCTTGGTCTTTCTCCGAGCGAAGACTTTTGGCGAACTCGAGCCGGGCGATTCCGCATGCGAATTTCGACAAGGAGGCCCGCCGACTTCGGACGGAATCACGACTTCGACGTCCCCTTGACGAGAGAGAGTAAGAGAAAAAAACAAAAACAAAAAGATATTTCAAGGAAAGAGAAAGACCGGAACGTGTCTTCTCGTGACACGAGTGGACAGTCGCCGATCCATTCTGGCGAAGGGTACACGATTCTTCGGCGATAGGGAATAAAAAAAGTAAACCATCATTTTGCATCCACACGTAGACTCGTCGAGCAACGTTCCAAACGGAAGCACGAGAGGGGCCACGAGCACACATTCGAGTGGATTGGACGATACGTCGCCTCGTCGGAGTGACAAAAACTAGTTCCGGATAGTACAAGATAGTGCTTCGAGTATGTCCCGATGGACGAAGAGATATAATTCGCCGCGAAACCAATCTGCACGTTCTTCCCGAAGTGTTTCATACGTCAAACCCAAAACTCCAGTAAAAGGACTCCAACGAACTGCAGCCGCATGCTCTCTTTCTCGTTCTCTCTCTCTTTTGTCGTCACGATAAGAAGCAACTTAGGTCTACTACATGTTACTGTGATTATGATAACCTACATATTGAAAACCTGTTAATTATGTAGAACGTTACGAACCTAAGACTAATCGCTTCGTCGATCACTGGGGGAAATAATAGTACCGGCCGAACGACGTCGATGACACCCATGAGAAAGACAGGAGCGATGGCAGGCGCGTTAAATGGACTTTAATCGTGAACTTCGGCGTCGACCAAGTGCCGAACGAAACACACGTCGAAACGAATAAAGCACAACGAACGATGATCCCTCGAGAAACGGACTCCTTCCCGTGCCCCAACGGCGGTCAGCTTCCTCCGCGATACCTCGATAATGTACAAACTTTCGTCACTCGGAAACTATCGCCATCAATTTTGTCCCAATCTCTGCCTCGTTGCGATGGCCGGACAATTAATGGCTAAGCTGTTTCGTAAGTGCGAAGAAAGATCGCTTAGGGGTTTTCTCTCTCATTTTAGAGCATTTTACCTTAACTCCTAGCCTCAAACCTCTAATATATGCGAACGTCGATTGTCCTGCCGTCGAGACGCGATCGGTTCATCATGCCTGTGAGAAATTTGTCAAGAAAAATAAATGGTTGTCCGTACAATAAGATGCGCGTACTCTTACTTTCATTCGGTTGGTTTTCGTTGTTAACGAAAGGATACTGACTGCACGGTCCGCGTCCCACTCGGATGCAAAGCGCACCATTCCCATGTCGGTGCCTCGCATCTCCGCGAATTTGACTTCTCCGACTTCCTGGAATTTGTCTCGCAGCATCTGCCACGTCGTGTTGGGAGGCAGCTGCACGGCAGGCACAAGAAATTAGGTTGACGCGGGAGCTGATTACGTAAGTGGTTCCGGGTATAGAACTTACGTTTCCGATGATAATGGTGTCGGACGAAGGCCTCTGTCCGTTCGAGTTCTGCCTGCTTCCCATGCCCGATTGCCCCTGATTGGTAGAAAAAACGGCACCTCCGCTGGAAACTCGATCTCCGTCACCTCTGCCGAAGTTACCGTCGAAATCCCTGCCACCGCCGAAGTTCGAACCTCCGAAGGCATTGCTACCACCGAACCCTACGTCATTATCCAATTTCGATAGGCCTCGAGGAGCGAACGAGTTATTTGCTTGCCCTCCCGCGAGGGAGGCTTGTAAACTGGAAAGTCCGCCGACTCCGCCACCGAAGTTGTTGAGATTCGACGCTAACTCGCTTGTCAACGATGGATTCAGAAGAGTCGTGGTGGCGAGATTGGCACCCAAGCCACTGGCCAGGCTTGCTTGGAGGGCCGCTGCATTGGTGTTCGACAATGCAGATGCTACGACACATGTGTAAGTTACAATCGGAACTCTCCATGAAAATATTCAACCGCTGAGATTCGATTTCTCTACGCAACTCTAACAAATCAATTCATTTTGGTTTAAACAAACTCTCAGAAGATATGGCTTTGATCAAATTCCATTTCTCCAAGAGGATTACAGGAGCTATTCTACCAGAAACTAGATTGTTTCGTTTGAAACGGTCTACGTACGGTATCAAAGACGGCCCTGTATGAGTATATGTGTCAAAGCTATTTTAGAATCGCCATCGGAAGAAAGGAAACCCCAATTGAAGAATGAAGAAAAAATTTTAGAGTCAACTACGTGGTACCATGCGTCTTACCTAACTGAGCTGGTACGACGTTCAATCCACCACCAAAGGCACCCGAAGTAAGTACAGGTGCAGAGATGGGATTTACAACAGGTGGATTGTTTGGTTGTATGTTCGGTATGTTTCTAGCAACATCCATCAGTCTGTTGCCACCTGCTCCGAGACCCATACCGATTCCTTTCAAACCTTCGGGTAATTTAGGTGGCATATCGGGTTCGTTAGCTCTATCGAGTCGAACCGTCATACGCCGATCGTACAGTTGTTGGTTGTGAAGCATGGAAATAGCTTGAACCGACTCGACCGGATGATCATATTCCACCACTCCGAAACCCCGTGACTTTCCATCTTTATCTTTGCCCAGCTCTACGTGCAGTACTTTTCCAGCAAGTTTGAATACTTCCAACAGTTTCTTTTCATCCACCTTGTAATCCAACTGATGTAACGCAACGTTACGACATTATTGAAGGAAAGTACGACCATTTGAACTTATAGTACCGTACAATACAGGGGTAATAATAAAAGAATATATAACTTGCTTACGTTTGCAACGAACACTCGAGTAACCAATGGACCGTTAATGCCAAGAGACTCAAGAAATTGAGTGCTTAAGCCATAAGTGTTTCCAAATTTATTGTCGCCACCGCCTCCACCTCCGCCACTGCCACCACCGCCACCACCACCGCCACCGCCACTACCACCACCACTGGGATTTGACATATTCTGTCGTATACCACTTGGTCGTGGAGGATCTCTAAACCTATCGTCGCGTCCTCTGTCATTGTTTCGCGATGTTGCTAAACGACCGTATTTATCACGTTCAACATCAAAGTCCTGAAACGACAAATCCTTTGTTCTTAAGACACAATGCAAACGAATTCAAGAAAATGCAAGATCATCGATGACTGTCCCACCTCTTTAACAACCAGCTTTCGACCCTTGATATCAAAGCGATGCATTTTATCTACTGCAATCTTCACCGAATCGGCATCCTCAAACTCAACGATTCCACAGCCCCTTGGTTTCTCGTTTTCATCCGTGAAGAGTTCGACGTGTGCAACCTTACCAACCTCTGTTCTAAATAAATCCTTAAGATCTTGCCAACGGTAATCGTAGGGGATATTCGAAACGTAGATTCGTCTTTCGGAAACCTTCCGGCCACCTCGATCATTGCGGTCTCTGCTACGATCACGGCTACCAGAATTTATACGATTCTGCCTGTCCGAACGTCGATTACGATCTCGCTCTCTACTACGATCTCTGTCTTCGTCGTTTTGCATCTGTGTACTGACAATTGATCTTGGGATAAATACAATAACAGAAAATTCAGTATAACCTGTGCATTGAAACCAATGTTTCGCATAGAAACAAATTGATTTGTTGTTTTTATTTTATATATATCTTAATTTCTTTTATGTTGCACTTAAATTTAATCAAAACAAAGTAAATATCATAAATATGGAAACCTGAAAAAATTATTAATTTGTAACGACGCTCTACGGGAAACCAAAAAAAAATGGACGCATCTTGGCTCAGAATTGTGACTATTCGTACAGTGAGTTAAAAAGTTCTTAACACAATCAGATAATTTTCAGTAATGCTCAATTGCGTTATCGTGAAAAAATAATAAAAATAATGTAAAAATAAAAGAGCTTAAATTATAATGCTATGTGGCATCGTTTCTTTATAAGCACGAAGTTCTTTACTGCCAAACAAATCCGCATGTGGAATCAAATTTTCGGGACAAGAAAAAACATCATACTTACTCTTCTGTCTTCATTACACCCAAAGTTGCTCACGTATCGTCCAACGATAAAGGCAAATTCGACAGTCAATATAAAAATTCAAAATTAAAAACCAAAGACGAGAGTCACTCGCAACGACTTCGCGACGTACACGGCTTATAGAACAGAGCGTCCTTCAAAATGGCGGCCGGTGAAAATATGGCGGAAATGTTCCTCCAACCGGAAACCTCTGAACTCAACATCAAATCAAATGGCTACAGTATTCAAACGACAAACTAAAATTCGGTATAGTTATAATAAAATCATTAATATATCGTTTAATTCATGATATCCAACATCTAAACAAATATGTTCAATTTATTAAAGTGACCATACATTCCTTATTGAAGCATTATATGAGATAAAGTTAATGCCGTATGGCGAATGAAAGATGTAAGTATTCGGAGCAACGATTCGCATGAACTTTAATTCTAACAATTTTCTCTTTAGACTGTTTTACATTAAAGTTGTTTCAAAACTAAAATTGTTACATTAAAACAGAAAAGCACGAAATGTATGTTAATATACTTAGATGAGTAAATCGATTTGTATTTTGAAAAAAGAACCGCCAGTGAAACTCGCCGTAAGTGGCGCCACTCGTTACTTCCGACGAGTCATCCGCTATCTTTCTCTCGCCTCTTTCTAGCAGAAGACATCGGTTGACGACAGCCAATCAGAAGTCTGGTGTCTGGTTCGTCCCTTTTTTTCTTCTCATCGGTTACCAGATCTGACGTGTAATATAAACTGGTGGTGAAAGGCTTTTTTATTGAAATTAATAACAGAATGGCAGCACAATGGATACGTAAAGCTGTAAGTAATAAGTGTCGCTCTGTACTCCTGTAGAGCGGCCACTGTCCTGCCCGTTGACCCGCCTCCTTCCCACCGAAAAGGTTAGAACTTTTCGCGCACAGTTTGGTTATATATCCGTCTGCTTGTACGCGATTTGTCGCCTCTTCTCTCTTTCTCCTATTGATCTCGTTATAGCTCCCTCTTGTTCCAACACGTTCCGTTTCTCTCTCCATCTCACCTTGGAGAGGAAGGCTTCAAATTATTACAAGAAAATTATGATTTCTTCTTCATTCGACGAAACAGATTTCCCCGAGATTCGGCAGAGTTCGCCTTTATAGCAGCAAAACCCACAAGTGCACTCTTATTCCTGGAGACGGTATCGGACCTGAGATTTCTGCAGCTGTACAGAAGATCTTTGAAGCAGCCAAGGTGAAGTATTTTTATCTTGTGCTCCATTGACTTTGTTAGGCTACAAAATCTGAGTTGTACAAGATGGCAATTCAGTCGATTGAAAGTAATTCGTGTAGATTTTTGTAGATCCTTTCTTGACCCGACTGACCTCAAGAGTCCCTTAGTAATTTTGATTATTCATTGAATGACCATTTTGTTTTAACTAAATTTCTATCTTGCCTTTTTTTAATTAATTTTTTCATAGTTACGAGATGTTGGCATAATTCATTTTCTATTTAATTCATAGGTATCAACTTTATCTTTGAATATCGTGTATGCTAAATTTAATATCTAGGCTATTAAAACATACGTATGACCATTTGGAAATCTAAACAGAAGCAGATACAAATGAATCTTGTTTCGTGATCAGTCATGTAAGATGCATATTTGCTCAATGCAAAATCAGTTATCCTCGTACCTCTCTTGTATCTCATATTTAATTCTGTTCTTTGATTTCTACTCTAATTTAGTAATTCAGCGTATATAAGGTATTTCTTAATTTTATTTAAGTGTAATAATATTTCGCGTAGGTTCCAATAGAATGGGAATCCGTAGATGTTACTCCAGTACGAGGTCCAGATGGGAAATTTGGTATACCGCCAGCAGCCATCGAATCAGTTAATAGAAACAAAATTGGTTTAAAAGGTCCACTGATGACACCAATAGGAAAAGGTCACCGATCTTTGAATCTCGCGCTTAGAAAGTAAGTCTTGTAGATCATTACATAAGCCTGAGAGCGTTTATTACTTCCATTCATTCCTATGAATGTTATCTTGTACTATGTGACTGGTTATATAATCGGTATAAGAACAAGTTTAGGGTTATTTATGCATGACAGGTGCAAGACTTTGCAAACAGTAGCTGTTATCAATTTTAGCGTGACATTTTCTCGCTTAAGATATGCTTTGATTCTGGATTATTCTCATTCACAGGGAGTTTAATTTGTATGCCAATGTACGCCCATGTCGTTCGTTAGAAGGTTACAAAACACTGTACGATAATGTTGATGTTGTCACAATCAGAGAAAACACAGAAGGTGAATACTCTGGTATCGAGCATGAGATCGTTGAGGGTGTAGTACAATCGATTAAACTTATCACTGAAGAAGCCTCGAGCCGAGTAGCAGAGTTTGCTTTTCAATATGCTCAAGATAACAACAGGAAAAAGGTTATTTTTGGATTTTTTCCAATTTCTTTATTTCAGAAATAGGTGTGTCACTCTACAGTGTGTTCCATAGGTAACTGCAGTCCATAAAGCTAATATAATGAGAATGTCGGATGGACTTTTCCTGAGGTGCTGCCGAGATGCAGCAAAGAAATTTCCAAATGTAAAATTTGAGGAAAGGTATTTGGATACGGTGTGTTTAAACATGGTGCAAGACCCGAGTCAATACGATGTGCTTGTTATGCCGAACTTGTATGGCGATATCCTCTCCGATATGTGTGCTGGTCTCGTAGGAGGTCTTGGGCTAACACCTAGTGGAAATATTGGACTTAACGGTGCTCTCTTCGAGTCGGTAAATAGTCTCGTGTATTAATTAACCTTTGGTTTATTTAATTATTCTAAAGCTTTTGTTGAGTTTCAAATTTTTGGTTTTTTTTAAACAGGTCCATGGTACAGCCCCCGATATCGCAGGTCAAGATAAAGCTAATCCCACCGCTCTGTTGCTTTCTGCCGTAATGATGTTGAAACACATGGGTCTGAACGATCACGCACGAATTATTGAGCACTCTGCGTACGACACTATCAAAGAGGCAAAGTATTTAACTGGAGATCTGGGTGGTACTGCCAAATGCAGCGAGTATACAAATGAGATATGCAAGAGAGTGTCCGCTCAGGTTAAATAAACTTTAGATACAACGATTCCGATTTAACGCCAAATACTCGTAGAATTCGTGCGCGTGAAAACAAACAGATTGAAGAAAAAAAAGAAGCGCTTTTATCGTGCGCGTTCTTTACCCTCGATGCGTTCCGCACGATAATGTGTTCTTGCAAATTTAATGACACATTGGAGAAAATGGGTGCTTTTAAAAGAAAAAGATCACCCGGCCTTGTCCGAACGGCTTGATAGAATATTTCCATTATTCTACCTCAGAACTCGTACAATTCGACTCATTCGCGATCCGTTCAACAATGCAAACAGCATTTAATATTACTGTACCCTCGACGGATGACTAAATATGAGTGTTACGAGAAATGCATTGACGATCCAGACGAACGAGCATGCATCTTTTTACATACTAGCTATCGCGAATCGTTCGCAGTTACTGACGAATCGAATCCTAGTTAAATCTGTAAAGTCTAGCCGTTTAAGGATACTTAGGAACAATGTGTATAATAATTTTAAATAAAGATCTTTAACGCGAGAGTTATGCCCTCCACGAGGAGAAGCGAGAGTCGTCACGTTGTGCAGTATTACGAATCAATAAAAACGGTGTAAACTTAAACGATGTGCCCTAAGGTCTTGAACGCTTATTTATTTCTTGAATCAGTTTGCATTATTTAACGATACCTTAACCCGAGTGTACAAATATATTTCTTTTCTGAAACCTCTGGGAACTTGACCCCATTAACATTTTGAGATTAAGAATTCTTCAGTTAGTTTCATTTTGTGAATTTAATATTTGGAATGCACCGTCCTTGTTTCAGAGATTAAACGATATTAATATACTAAAACACCTGGAACTCTTTTATTATCTAGATGCCATAAGTTAGTATTAAATACATTTTTGTTTAATAGAGTAAAAGAAACTTTTTCTCTCTATATATTGTTTGAAACCAATCACGTGGAACAGGATTATTTACCTCTCGGCGGTGGAAAGAACGAAAGAAAATGTTCACGTAAAGAGGGTAATATTCCCTGGAAGGCAAGAGAGCCCCCTCTATCGCTCCCTCGGTATCAACACGATTATTCTAGTACGTACTTCATACCTCGTCCCCTTATGCTGTAACGTTATAGCACCTTCCCCTCAACGTCTTCCGTTACTCGTGGCTTTTCACCGAAGTATAGCATCCTTCGGCGGAAAACTCTCAGCTATGAGAAAAGTTGCCGGCTATATTTCACAGAAGGTAGCAAACGACGACGAAGGAGCCCTCTGCATCCTCCTTCTACCGGTAAGAAAGATGAAGACCCAGTGTCATCTTCGTAGCTCGTTAATTCTCTCGAGATTTATCGAGATCCCCTGGAGTGAGTAACGACTGCTTATAAATTTTTAATATTGAATTCCTACGATGATTCATCTTTCCCTTCGTAAAGTAGATCATTTGTGGCAAAACCCAGCGGTAATGATGATTTCTTTTAACTGGGAATTAGTTGGTGATTTCAAGGTTGAAAGTTTTCGGAAAATGAAAACAGCAAGCCATGTTATGATTTTGTTACTCTTTATCGGTAAATCAACATTTTGCGAAGTTATTTAATTATATTATCAATAAGTTATGCATATTATTTGTCTTATGTTAGATTGCGTAGAAACTTGTAACCGCATCGTGCAATGCCCTACGTATTTGTCGGCGTGAGCGTTGCGCAAACGAGTTGCAAGTTTACGCGGCCTAGAAGTAAAATGCCTCATTTTGATTATTCGTAACTCTGGATGAGATTCTCTAGCCCCATAATACCGTCGCGTTAAAACAGAAAAACGATGTTAATTACCCAGTGAACACTGTTATTTAACTGTTGGGTAAATGTTACGATTTCGAAACTAACATGTTATGTAGCATAAAAGGAACATGGAAGTTAGATAGTTATTATTTCCCACTCGGTAAGGTAACATGTTATGTAACATGTTATATTAATGTTGTACTTTCAGTTACCTTAAATGATATTAATTTTTCATACATTTAATAAAAAATCACACAATTTTATCCAAAATTATATAATTTTTTATTTTTAATTATTTTTTGGTACTTGACAATAGTTAGATATTAAATGAAATTATGTAATGATAAACTATCTGATTTTACTTAAAGATAATTAGAATTTCATTCGACTAGCAAACAATGACTAATAATGTACATGCGCGTTTGAATTAAAGTCATATTTTTTCATAGGAGTAGTAAACAAAATATGACATATATTGATCTTATGACATTTGACGAATTATGACAATGACGATGACAATGATGTAATAAAAAAAATGACACTTAGCACCAATATAGTTCTGTTTTGTTACAAATATGTGCTGCATATACATAGTAATATCAGGACAGTAACATAATGTAAGATGAGAGTAACAAAGTTATGCTACATTTATATAGATATGATTGTAACAAATGTCATGTAACCCATAAGCTCCATGATACATAACTGTTAAGTTACTACATTGTAACAAATGTCATGTAACTAGTCAGCTCTATGTTACGTAACTGTTAGGTTATTACATTGGAACAAATGTTATGTTATTTGTTAGTTTTAAGTTACGTAACTGTTATGTTTGGTGTTCAGTGGGAGTGGACAGCAGTAGCCAGTACCCATAAAAAGGGAAAAAAAAGGTCTTGTATTCCAGGGTACTTTCACGTTATTATAATGATTAGTACATACATTAGGGGGACCAAATGAATTCCCTGAAAAACGGTAGCAAGATTATCAACAATCCCTAAGAATACAATACTCAATAAAATAGTAAGGGTGACCGGAGCAAATTGACCAACTTTTTCTGTAATGCTTAATTGCGAGGAAAGTAATGAGAATTTTCGAACGTATACATCGAAATGTAGAGCATAAAATTAAGGCACAATGATTGCAGTTCAAGATTCTTCAATTTTTACAAATAATTATAGAAAAAGTTATTTATGCCTGCCGGGGAGGTTGGTCACCTTGCTCCGGGTACGTGATCATTGGATGAATTACTCGGGATAAATTGACCCGGCATATAGATCCGCACGAAATTTGCCCATAATTAAAATAATAAGTTTCAAATTTAAAAATATTGTTATAATTATTAACAAAATGTAAATTTATAAATACGCAATAATTATTCTTTTTACTCTTTACAATAAATATTTGTCATGCATTAATTCTCTCTTACGACGTAATGACTTGCTTAACCGTTTGAGTTCCACGTGTCTTTGCTGTTTTCCCGTCCAAAAGTGCCAAGGAGCGCTTTTTCGCTTGTCTTATTACCTCTCCAAAAGTGCCAAGCGGCGCGATAGCGCTTGTCTTATTCCCCGATTAAAAATGCCAAGGAGCGCTATTGCGCTGTTTTCTGCTCTATACGGTAATGTTCGACTGAAATTAAAATTTGGTCTTTTACCAGCTGTCTCATTCTTTTACTTTTACCTAAAATGGAATGGTAACCGTAAAGTCGCTCATCGACGGAAACCGAGCGTGTCGCGGTTATCGGCTTCGCAGCCTAGAACGCTGGCGCTGTTCGAGCGTCACAGAAGAAGCGCAAAATCGCTCCTTGGCACTCAAACGGTTAAGCAAAATAAACTGATCTTACTTTGAATAACATCTGCTAAAATCATAAATGTGTCGGAAGGGTTAAACAGGTATTAATCATACATTTTTAGGAGACTTGACTTACAAACAATGCACTATAAAGAAGGCAACAGATGTGTATCGGCGCATTTTTCATCTCCCCCCTGGCTGTATTAAATGAATTTTATTCAAATTTTTCCCTGAAAATACAAAGAATAAGATTCACCGCACATTAAACGAAATGTCTCAGTTTCGCCCTGGCTTGCCGTTTCCATTTCTACAGTGTTTTTTTACACACTTATCGTTAGATTTTTCTTTGGACGTTTACTTTGGCTTCGCTTTGATCTTTACATTACACGTTTTAATGTTCTTCAATCAATTTAGAGCACACCAAGCTTAGGTCATTATGCTAAGTGAACCAACAAATTAAGTGAACCAACGAATATTCGGAATGTACTTGAAGTACAGACGACGAGAGAAAAACTAACGGTTATCGCGACGCCAAGAGCTTGTCAGTTAACTTACCCTGTTTGTCGTAAGTGAATTTGCCCCGAACGTCATTTTAACATTAAGTATATTAACAAATGATAAACTATTATATTTTAAAATATATGCATAGCAATGCAAAGCTAAATATATGCTCTATTTATGTGCCACATTTTTAAAATGATAAAAAGCAGTACGCTATATTGAAAAAGAAAAAAGTGAGGACTGAAAAAATTAACTTCCCACCATAGTTCTTGACTTTTGATTTTTTATGAATAAGCGAAGCTGCAATTAATTACGTTAAGTATCAAGATAAGTGTGGGACACAATTAGGACTGTATCATAAAATGAAGAATAATATTAACCGTTTGCGTACCAGATGGTTCTGAAAAAACAGGATCGAAAAGCGCCAAAGAGCGCGATCGCGCTCCTTCGTCTGTTTCGGCCAAATGCCCTGGCTTTTCTCGACACAAAATCTGAAGAGCCCGAAAGTGGCTCGTGGTATGCAAACGGTTAAGGGGTATGGCCATGGTAGCGAGTATAAAATCATTTGCATATTCAACAATATTTTTGTTGTATAAAAAGTAATTTATTTACAGAACTAATTACAGAACTTTTTTCCGAGGCGTTCCACGGCGTGACATTTGGCGTCCACAATTTTTGACCTAGAACAAAACGAAAAAATTCTCGTTAATCTACATAAAAATACCTAGAGAAGTACATATGGAATTTTAAAAATATTAATTTTTTCGAANAATTTTAAAAATATTAATTTTTTTCGAAAATGGCAGGTATTTGAAGTTAACGGGTGAATTTCCAGTGAAAAATTTCGTATAAAACTGCTCATAAAATGGAAAGTTTTTAATTAATCAAAAATTCCGTATGTACTTCTCTGCGAAATACAATTACAAAGATGATATAAAAATTTGAAGTCAATCGGAAGAAATTTGTCGAAGTTATTTATCACGCGAATTAGAAAAAAGCTGTTTTGAGAAAAATGCGTTTAAAGTTTGACGTATAACTTTTTTGTTGTTAAACTTGAAGAATCGAATAAAAAAAAATGTTTACCTTTAGTCTACGATGCCAGCTCCATAAAGTCGGCCTTCTAAGGCAAGATTTTCATCCTCTTCAGCTTTCCTACGCACAGTTACGCACAGTACGCAGTTTTCGTTCCTACAGCAATTGCTTCGACAAGTTTGTCATAAAAGGAATGGTATATCGGCCGTGAGAATTCCATGAAGGCACTAAACTTTTTGATACCATTCAAACCTACACCTAATAATCGCATCGCTAAGGTGATTCTGCGATTAATTTCATATCCATTTCTCACATAAGGGGGCAATTAGGTATTTCAGTTTTTTCACACTGGTTACGAGAAATTACGATCTTGAAACCCAAACCGCGCATGGCCGATTCAGTGATTTGTACATCTTGACCGTACGTTTTGCAAACAATCACTTGAGAAATTACGTTCATAACAGTTATGAAATTTATAAATCTGTTGCCGAATTTGGCGTTAATGTCATTATCACGCGAACTCGTTGA